CCCTACAAAGGCTGCAAAGAATTTTCCATGCTCAGGGAAGCTATCTGGGGACTGGGGTCTGCACAGCTGAGCCTGGGCCACCAGGCTGAGCTGCTCCATGGGAATACTCCTCTGTGTATGTGGTGGAGGCATGCAGTGTCCTGAACTGCTGGACCAGCAGTCCTTCTGCTGTGCAGCTGTGATTTTGATCCACCACAGCAAGTCCAGGGAGCCTCATGGGTTAAGTAGGAGCCTGAAACGTAATAGAAATCCATCTGTGTGGGTTTGTTTTTTTTTTTTAATTAAGTGCAAGAGCATAATTCTGATATATTTAAGAATTCTGAGACCTAAGCGTGTCAGCTGATAGCTTTTATCCCTCCACTGAACATCAAGGCTGCTGTTGTAGGTAATTTACTCAGGACAGTCCAGACACCATTAACAGGGGCAGCCCCAGACTCAGGGCTGAGCCATGGAGATAAGCACTGCATTTCCCTTGACACTGATGGCAAAACTGGACCATTTGGTAGAAGCCAGCCTCAGTGACAGGGTCAGGGATGTCTGGGACTCTCACCAACATTGTCCATAAGGCTCCAGCACCAAATGGACTGAAGCCCCAGAAAAAAGCACTGCTCGCTGCCAGCTGCAATGAGTGCAGATGGGGAAAATCACTGACACACAGCTCCAGTTACTTCTGCAGTTTTCTGCATAGCACAGATATGAAGCAGAGCGTCCAAACCTCTCTGTACAGCCAGCCACAGCACATTAGACAAGATATCAGCAAGAGCAGCAGACCATGGAAAATTAGTGAGAAAAGAGAGGAATGAGGACCTGTGACTTGCAATAGTTGGTCATGCTGTGCACATTTCTGGGGTATTTCATGTATATGTGACAGTAGATACAAAACCGCACATATGTAAAGCAGCTTTGCTCCTTGACATTCAAGCTTTCACATACTGTAAAATCTTCAGCTTGCTGCTGACGTGACATTTTGTTATTGTGTCCCCTCTTGCTCAGGGCATAGGACATGTGCAGGAGATGGGGATGAGAAAAGAAAGCAGAAAAGGCAAAATTATGTCAGCTAAGACAGAAAGTAATGGCTCTGTCATTTGGAGCAGTGGGAAAATGCTCAGGGTGGAGAGAGAATAAGACTCTTTCTCTTTGCTCAGCACCCCAGTAGCCCCAGCCCTGCTGGCAGTGGAGCTCCACACCCCACCAAAGCAATGCTGCCCCTCCCTAGGTCAGATTTCCTCCATTGTCCCTGGGTTGAAGACCTAAAGAAAACTTTCAAGGAGACAAAAATCCCTCTATCTGGACAAAGGCTGTGAGAGCAGCACCTCATGGGACCTTGTGTCATTTCTGAGAATATGACTCTAGCAGCTGATGATCTTTATGTGTTTGCTTTCTATTTTATCTGATTTTCAAATGAGTCACTCATAACAGCTTTTCAAAGAGACATGGGTATGTGTGGATGGCAAAGGGATTTTACTTTTCAAATAGGTACTTGATTTTGTGAGAAAGAGTACTAGTAAGCTATTTCTGTTTCCTGGTAGCAAATCATTTGAGCGTTATTGTTGCAAATAAACTCAGTGGCAGGAAAATGGGGTTAGAAATGTAGATTTGCTTCGGAAAACGTGTATCAGTTTTATCACTCTTTTCCTCATTCCCTCTCTTGCATTTTCTTTCCTTTTAATCAGCATCACTGCCTGCTCTCTCACCCTCTTACACAGTGTGCACATATGTGTGTGCACATGTATGCATATGCCTTGCCTTTCCTTGCCTTTTTTTTCCACGAGAGTCAAGTTAAGTAAATTACTGTGTAGTCCTGTCTCATAGCAGCTTGCCTGTTCCCTCGTCTAGGCAATTTGGTGTCAACTGGATTATATCAGAGCAGTTGCTTTCCCCACAAGAGCAGAAGAAGGTGCAGGAGATTAAAATAAAGATCAGCCAACCCTGTAGCACAGCAAATTAGCTCAGGCCATTAAGCATAATGGCCTTCCAGAGGCCAAAGAGGTCAGCTATTAGCTCAAAATAATGACCTTCAGACCAGGCAGGAGGAAGCACACACACAGATGTCTGTCATTCTCCTAAGTCAGTTTTCAAAATCTCACTCCCCATTTTGTACAGTTAAAATATTTAATATATTTCATAGGACCCGATTTTCTTTTTTCTTTTGGGCTAACATCAGAGTTTGAAGTTAACCATGTGGAGGTTGCTAAAAGATGCAGGCAGAGTGATTCCAATTAACAACATGGAAACACAGTTTGCTTATTTTCGAACCTACTTAAACATCAAAGGTTCAAAAGTTCAATTCAGATGTTCCTGGATTACATTATTTCAGAGAGGAAGAAAGTAAAAAGGAAATAAAAGTCTAAAGCCATACAGTCTAAGCTGCATATCATATGAAATATGAACTAGTTGGGGAAGATGTTAAAAGAGCTCGACTGGGATTCAGGGGATGTAGATTAAATTCCTTGTCTCCTCGGCAAACTTCCTGTGTGGCCTGGAGCAAACTGCATTACTTGTTCTGTGTTTTAGTTTCTGACACGTGTGTGGGGTGCAGCTAATGAGTCCTTTCTCTTGCCCTTTGTCTCCTTTCCCTACTTAAAGATGTTTTTTAGAGAGAGGTCTGCAGATCTTCTCTTAATGAATATATATACAGAAATGAATAGTCAACACAGGCTTCACCTCAACTTTGAATACTACCAAAGAACTAGAAAAACAATAATTAAAACCAATAGGTTGGCCTTCAGGAAATTCTTGGCTCTCTCACAAATTCCTGAGACATTTAAACTCTTTCTGATTCAGCTTCATGACCATAAAAGTAATGCTTGTGATACATCCATTTGTAGTTGTAAGGAATGTGAAAATGACAATAAGAGGCCCAAAACAAGCTAGGTAAACTTTCTTTGGTGAATAAAAGCTGGAAAGTTCAATATCAAATCAGAAACATGTCTTGTGCAAAAGCTGTCTTCAAAATGCCAACATGTGCAGTGTTCAGCCCAATGAGGGAGGTGAAGGCCTAGGGAGCCACAGTTATACCATATACAACAATGTTGCATATGGTCTCCGTATGTGTTAGTCTTGAATTTCAAGCATGTTCTGCCCATCATAATACAAAACACAAAAAAAAATCCCACACGTATTTGTTTGTTTAAATTGGGGTGAAAAGAGGATTACAGGGGAGGGAAAAGTTTACACACTCAACAAGTTTTGTGAACCCCAATTGGCAGGACAGAAAGTTCATAAAACCTTGAACCCTGTTGATTTCTGTCATGCTTTACTCCAATATGGAGAAGTCTGGCTGAATTTATGACTATTTACGGCATGAAAGCTACACAGTGTTTGTGGAAGTATAAAAGCTGCTGTTGAGTATCATAAAAAGAATTAAATCACCAAATTGTTTTCACAGAAGGTTAAAAGGTCTGATATAAATCTTCAAAAGGTAGGCGGAAACTCTGTCCTTAATCTGCCCTGTTGTGCTGAGGTACTGCAGGCAACGCATATGGTATATAATGTTAGCCAGTGCTGAGAGACTTTTGTAAAGCCTATGCATACAAAGAAGCCGATAAGCTTGAAACTGCAACATTAGGCTAACACTGGATTTTCCTGCTTTTTTCCTGAGCAGATATTGAACTATAAAGCTTTTTATTTAAAATCAGTTGTTTGTTTTTTTTTAATAGGTAAATATAATTTTGAGCCCTTTGCTTCCTGTGGGGGTTTTGTGAGCATGTGTGTTTAAAAGAGAAGAAAAATGTACGAGGGAAGGGTTAGTGTGTTCAGTAGTCTCTCCACCTCTCAGTGATGTCAATTAGGCATGCATTCTGCTGGTGAGCTGAACTTCACCCAGTGAGCTTTCACAATATAGCATCTGCCAGTGAGACTGCAAGAGCTGTGCAGCAGGGACAGTAGTCCAAATCGCAAAATTCCCAACAGGACTTCTGGAGCGGATAGTTAGAAAGCTTCAATGGGACTCGGTCATCACAGTTCACACTTGGGATAATATTTTATCCTAAATGCTACAGTAAGGCATTGCAGAAAATTAGTTAATCGCTTACAAAATTCAAACTAGAGCTTTAGAAATGTTTTTGAGCTGTGCTAATGTGAAAAACACCCAGAAGTTCATTTGTACCTCAAGTACCTCATCAGGATACCATTTTAAGTTTAACAATGATTAAAGATGAAAGCATTCTTATTAATTAACATTAATCAAATGTTGATACGGGAAAAAATAAATTAAAAAAAAAATCATTAAAGAAACATCACTCTGAGGCCTAGACTGATGCCAGTTTTTTTCTTGCCTGGACTGAATTTTATATTGGAATTATAAAATAAACCTCTGAAAAGAGGGATTATAGTGGAAACACTGGCAGACTCTTAGCTGGAGCATGCTACGGGTGCCTTTATAAACATACCAGGCACAATGGTTTTGAGCCAAAAAAGTGCTTCTTTAAAAAAATGTATTAAAAATTAATATATTCCTTATGCATGTCTAAGTTAAAGCTTCTCTGCATGAGCTTTATTAATTCCCTCAGGGCTGCTCTCTATCCATTGCAGACAGCAAAAATGTACTCTATATAAGATAAAATGGAACAGCATGACCCTCCATGGGATAAGTGGAATGCTTTGCTGGTAGATAGCAGCACCTTCCCCCATACTCTGCACACTGTACCCAGAATACAGCTACAAAACCGCTAGCCTTAAGGAACCTTGACTTTACCTCATCTTTTAGCTTTATTGTGTAGTGCAGGCAGCAAAACAGTGCACGGAAGAGCACATGGTGGATGTGTCAGAGTGTGGAGTTCAGGCTGCAACACAGCTAGTGAGGGTGCATGGACACAGTCCTGCTGGCCCTCTGCCCAGCCCCATGTGCACATGTGGGAATCTTGTGCTATGCCAGCCCTGGGGTAGCGGGGTGGGACACTCATCACAAAGGGATAACCTGAACCCACACAGCTGACATGCCTCAGGTCCCATGCTCCCGACTCCTTCCCTCCTTTCCTCCCTCCCTCTTGTCAGGACACAGCCAGGCAAGTAAACACCTTCTTTCTGAAATAGGGTCCCCCTCCACAAGCCAGGGAGCAAGTGGGGTTTGGCCACAATTGCGGTCACTTTTGCAACTGAAGAAGAAACAGTGTGCAATTTGAAAATTGGATATGGTCCGCAAACGAAATCTGACATACAAACAGCTAAAAATGCGGGTTATGTGCGATACCCAGCCCCACATCTGTACCCAATTTGCACAAAGGATTCTTGTCATTTTCTGGGGCTGAAACAAAACCCTGGTTCAGCAAGCCCCACAACTTTGGAGGGCTGAAATTTGAAGCAAAGTCTTTCAGACTGGTTTTGCCTCCGACAGAAACATTTCTTGCCGTAATTCCAGAGTTCCTATCTTCCAAATGCTATGCTTCCAAATGTTCTCAGCCCCAGCCACACATGGTTGAAAATGAGCCTGAGGCAACGTCAAGAAGACGCTGCAACATTTCTTTAAGAAGTGAGTATTAATATATTTCCTGTTAGACATTGAAAATAGGATTAGAGGTAATATGACAAAGGCCTTCTGTGAAATTAGGAATAAATGTCATTAATGCCCCCTGATGAGCAAAGTGGTCTCCCACCTGCATGTATGTGTCAGGCCTGCATTAGACTGTCATACATAACTGATAGTGAAATAAGACCACTGTCCACCAAATGCGAAAAGAAGCTCATGCTGCAAATTCATTTACAGTTAATTCATTTGCAAAGAGATTGATCTGATTAAAAATTGAGAAATTGAATCCGAATTGATTTTATTATATGAAGACTAGGATGATGTTATAAATACCTGTTATGTACACAGCAAATAAAACCAAACCAAAACAAAGCCAATGGAAGAAAATCCTTCTTCACCTTGAAAGGAGTACGTATCCTTTATTTCCTCTTACTAGCTCAAGATACAAGATAGTGCAACATAACATGTCTCTCTTAATAGTCATACCCCTTAAAGTAGTTTTCACCATATGACATTTACTAAACAGTGACAACTACTGGGGACCAGTATTTCAAGAAATTGGAAAACATGATTCCATTCAGACTTGAGTGACCAAAACATTTGAAATTACCCATTATAGGACACAATCCTGAGTTAGACGAGAGATGACCTTGTAGATCTATTCCATCCCTAGAGTGAGAACATGTCATTAGTAGACAGACAGAAGTGGTTGTGGGGGAGGGATGTGTGGGTGTGTGAAATTTAACTGCAGTTTATAATCAAAATACTGGCAGAGATTATTTCCCTTGGGCCTACAGTGGAATGTATGTGACACTTTCCCCATTCTTCTAAAGATGCAATACAGATACATGTTCTCTACTGTAAGGCAGCTTCAAAAGTCAGGGACCTTCTGCTCCCCAGTCAGGACTCTTCCCTTCACCAAGGGAAGAAATGAGCTGTCTTTCCACCCCCATAAATTGGCCCTTTTTTCTGAGACTGCCAGAATGAAGCTCTGACAAATCACGTAACTGTTAGTGCACAGTTTTACCAAAAATAGGGGGAAAAAAAAGTGTAGTAGAATGGAAGAGTAAATCAGAGCTGTTGTTTCATTGCTATGAGGGGCCTGGCTCCCTCCTCTCAACTGCCTCCACATAGTTACCAGGGGCTGCTGTCTGCCCCTGCTGGAGACATCTCTGCCCCATGCTGAAGCAGTCCCATCCCTAAAGGCAACTGCTCCAGCCCTAGCTATCTCGGGACCCCTCTCTGAACTCACAGCAGTTTGTCCATGTTTTGTATCAAGGGGGGCGCAAAACCGGGCATGATAATCTCATGTGTCATAAGTGTGGAGCAGAGGAGGATAATATCTCTAGATGGGTGGACTTTGCTCCTGCTGCCTGGTCACTGCTGGTTCCCACATGGCTCACGGTACTCCAGCATGCCAGCACCTCCTGCAGAGCTGCTCCCCAGCCCAGCTGCTCCCAGCTCGAGCCCTTGCAGGGTTTCCCCTCAGAGCTCCAGGGGTTTGCATTGATCTTCGTTAAATTTCACAAGATTGCTGTTGGCTCATCCCTTCAGCCCAACTGGGCCCTGAGGTTGAGAGCTGTGTTGTTGTTGCTCCTGAAATGATTTTACTAATCTTGTACATGCCTTGGAATCCCTTCAGTGCATTTCTGAAGGCAGCTCCAGGGTCAGATGATTTTCTGGAGCTGGCAAGCAGTGGCTGAGAGGCGAGCCAGGACATTTCCCACAGAAGTTCAGTTGCTGTGTTTTTGATTTATATTTTTATTTTGTAAATGGCACTTTTAAAATGTAAAAAAATAAACACCAAGTTGAGCACTGTAGCCCGGTACATACTTAGAAACAAAACGAAATGAATGCTGAGAATGCACTCAATTTCTGTGGCATGGCCACAATTTCAGGTTAATTTGGAGTTTTTGAAAAGAAAATATAAGTATATTGCAATGAATTTTTTCAAATGAAAATATATTGGTTTTCCATAATGAGGTCCAGAATGGTATTTCTAGTCTGAACAAGAATAAAGGAGCAGCACCTCCTAATACTCCCTGCCTAGGGCCCACTTTAAGGGGAGGAGAGACCCAGACCCATAATCTGCTTGTGCTCAGCTCCAAAAAACGACCTCCTACCTCTCAGTGGGTCCCTGATTGCTCTGCTCAGTTTCCAAAACAGTTTTGGAAGACTTTGATTTTATTCCAACACAGAATGAAGTATGTTTCAAAACCTCAACATTTTTTGTTAAATGGAATTTTCCCAGCCAAACCTACTATACGTTATTAGTCTTATAAATTCCCCGAGCACTTCCAGAATAATGAGAAAGGAGTACGGCATCCAGAAAAATCCCAAATCAAAACCAAGGCGGAAAGAAGAGATACAGCACGTCAGGAGGTCAGTGGTTGTGTGGCCACCCTGTACTGGCATAATCATATAGGGAAGGAGATTGTTATCATCGTGTTAAGTGCCCACAGGAGTAATCCAGCCTGGATGGTTTAGGGAGGGAGCAGCTCTGAGTTGTGCAACCTCCCACATGCTGTTCCCCACAGAGGCAATGCTCCCTGTGCGCACAGCCATCTGTCTCTGCATCCCCCTTCTCCTGCCTTGGCAGCTACCTCCTTCTCTGCATTTCCCCACCACTAACACAGCAGCCCTCCTCAAATGTCCCTATGGCAGGAGCTGCCGCTGCCAACACTGCCCTTCTGCTCGCTTGCCTGGAGGACCAGTGGGACAGGTAAACAGGGGAGACCAATGCTTTGAGAGGAAGTAGATTTGAGAGTGCACAGCCCAGCCCTGCTCACCTGGGAAGAGATAAGGGAGCCAGGGTCTCTCAAGAAGAAAGGGAATAGGTTCACTCCCTGCACAACTCCCACCTTCACCTTCCAGGGCTGACCAGGCACATCCCACAGCATGTGTTTGACCTACAGACAGCAAGGACTATGCTATGCCTGGTATTAAAGGCATTTTGTAGCCATGTATCACCTGGATCCTTTATCCTGTGAGGAATCCCCAAGCTGAGCCTGTTGTATCACCAGTGCGGTAACTGTGAGAGCAGGAGCTCCAGATCTACTCAGACACTCACAGCACGAGTCTTTGATAGAGCATGGCTGACTTACTGCTCTGCAGCAGGCTGAGCACAGCTCCTCACTCAAGTTCATGAACTGCGGTGTTGATCCTGAGGCTGTTGGGCTGGGCTGCGCTCAGAGTGTGATAGGTAGTCCACTTCTGTCTTAATTCTCCTTCTGAAGTATGGGGAAAATGCATACATTTCCCTGTTTTCCAGGATAAACACATTACAAGATTGTGAAAGTCTGGATGGGAACCAGAAACAAGAAAAATAAATGTTTCTCTTTTCCTATTAAAGTCAGTGGAATTTTTATGGGAAAGGAAGCAAAACCTTTACTTTCTGTAGCAGAATAATAATTTCAGCCTCGAAAAAAAAACAAAACAAAACAAAAAAAAACAAATCCCAGACAACCCCCCCCCAAAAAAAAAACAAAAAAAAAACCCAAACAAATATCCCCCCCAAAAAAAAAAACAAAACCTCACAAATGAACGAAAATAAAGCCCCAACCAAAAAAAAAACACAAAAAAAAAACAAACAAAGAAACAAAAAAACACCCCAAACCAAAACCGAAACCAAAACAAAAAGACCTCCGAACTAGAAGAGGCATCTGGTAGGAAGCTGCACATTTTTTGTCAAAGAGCTCAGACACCGTTATAAGATAATACGTATTTTTCCTTAGGATCATCTTTCAGCAAAATTATAAGCTCTTGGTTGAATGCTCAGCATCGAACAGCAGATGGTAAAGTGAGGATTTCTTGTGTCCTGATCTCTGAGAGTAAACACCACCTTTGTGGAAAAGAAAGCGCGGTTTACCAAAAGAGCAGTTGCACAGGTAGTTGATCTTTCTGCCTCTGTGTGGACAGGGGCTTTTCTGGCTCTGCAGCCCTTCTCCGGCAAGCTTTCCTATCAGACGTCTCTGCTCTGCACTATAGCTCTTCCCCAGGTCAGATGTCCGGGAATGTGAAGGTCAGGGACAGGTTCTGCACTTCCTCAGCCCCTTGTTCTCTGAGATTAAGATGAAACAAACAAAATTATTAACCAATCCAGAGCTGTGCTGTATTTATAGCAAGCATAATTAAGATCCTCTAGCTGGTCTGGGAGCTTCTGGGCTTGTTTGCCTCCTAAGATATTGCTTAGGGATATAAGCAGCTCTGGGAAGAGATTCCTGTGGAATTTTTTTATTCCTGGAGATCCTGGATGGATCCAGGTCTGTTATTTCATCTCAGAATCCCCAGCAGCCAGACAGCAAAGCAAGGATGTGAGGAGGGCACACACATCATCCGCTCCCTGCTGCATTTCTGCCTGGCCTAAGTTCTGCCCATCATTAGGGCATGAGGCTTTCTTCAGGATTTTCTCAGCAGGTTTCAGCAGATCCCATGTGCTTGGCCCAGCTTATGATAAAGTTGCTAGCAATGAAAACACACAATCTGCACAGTGCTTTAACAACTTGCAAAAAGATTCATTCAAACCTGCTGATCTGACTTATAGAAGCGATTTTTTTTTCCCAGGATAGAAAATGGGTGTTTCTCCACGCAGATCTTCTGTGAAGGTAACTGCACTGAATATCCCAAGCTGTGATTTCTAGAGGCTTCAGCCAACAGTTATTTGTACCTGTTTTCCTCTATAGCAGGAAGGGCTGTTTAGCTGAATACTCCTCAGCACAGTAAGACTTCAGGCTCTCTGCTAACCCTGTTCCCCATCCATCTCTGAGGTTTTTTCCTTCCCAACACCTTGGGCATCACAGAGCATTCCAGTGTTTGGAGGTTGAATTTGAAGGACCCTACACGTTACACATCCTGTCTTAGAAAGGGGTTGATACTTTTATTTTTCTTTAATTTGAAAAGCATTTAACTAATTGTATCATTTTTTCTTTGTATGATATTTGAAACATCTCATTACTAATGTTGTCTAACACTTCAATATAGCAGTGCTTCTATTTGCTTGTTTCTCTGGCAAATTTCCATGTTCTCACACACAGTGCTTTCCTCTGGATGATTCTGTTCTTGAGTGTTTTTCAAAATCATCCTAAATCCCATTTCTTGAAGCAAAACTGAGAATAAGTTATATAATTTCCTGTATTAAAAAGTTATTTTCTGATATCTTTGTAGCATGCAGTATCTTTCTATCTCAGAGCAGGAACTGGAATGTGACTGGTATAGTATAAATTTGACGCCTTTTGCCTTTTAAAGGAAAATTGTCTGATTTAGGCCCAATTTCAGATAAAATGCATTTGTTATGTGTTAAGGATATCCATGAAAAATTAACATTTTAGTGCTTCATTTGACAGCCTTATTAATAATGTTTTCACTGTATTATTTATATATGTTATTTTATTGAAGTACTTAAAAAACTTATTTCCCAGATCACATTTTACACCCGACTAAGTTCTTTAGCATATTAAAATTCAGGCATATTCGCACAAAAAAAAACACTGTAAATTCAGCATTGATTAACAGCAAACTTTTAAATGAAAACTCTAGAGGCTGTACAATTATGACAATCATCATTAAGAGATTTTTTAATATAACTTATAAAATAGAAACAGTGGCACTGTGTGTTGTTTCCTGTATTGAAAGCAACTATTATTTGATGCTTCTACCACATTGCTGTTTGAATGAGACATTAAAAATAGTGCTTCTCATTTGCCAGACTCTGAAGCTACCCAACTGGGAGGGAAGAGAAAGGAAGTGTTCAGGGTGTTTATAGAGAAAAGGTGCCAGATCCTGCTACCAGTGTAAGTCTAAAGTAAATTTACTCCCTATATTCATGAGTATTCTGGAATAGTATAAAACAATGTGACTCAGTCCATTGGGTAATAACAAGACACAGAAGAAAAAGAGAAAAGAAATTACACGAAAATAGGATAGACTGCATCCGAGTGATCACTGGTGTCTAGGATGCTAAGGCCTTTCAAGTTGTGCTGGTGGATCACGTTTTACCTCAGCAAAATGAACAAATTACAGTCTTGTCTAATTAGGTTTGATCATTCTTACATTCAGTCGCACCAATCCCATAGATCACATCTCTCAGGCATTTTTACAGCAGAAGTACAGAAGCAGTCAGACACCTGCAGCATCCCCAGCCCTCATCACTGGCTGATCAGTACCAGGAAAGAAAACGGCCCCCAGTAGTTCCATTAAACCCATGCATTTTTTCACTTCTCCTTTTACTTTGCCTTTCTGGTGCCTCCATGCTATGCCCCTGTGGTATGGTCCCACACTGCCTAAACTGTGCATACTTCAGAGCTGCTGATACTGCTAATGTGGTGCATAACAAGCCAACTGCACACCAAAATGTGGATTTGTATCAGAACTGTTTGCTTTTTTTTGCTAAGTCTCATGTGTCTGTGCAAAGGAGCTAATAAAATCAGAGAGGAGGTTCTGGGATGTTCATCATGTACAGTATTATGTTTTGTTTCAGTATGAAACAGCTGCATAAGGATTATACAAATGTGAGTTGCCAAAAATATTTTAAATATTTGAAAAAGGATTTGGTGGCATTTTTCTTATAAAAATAACTAATCCCTTCTGTGTTGACTAATGTGATGTACATAAAGGGGTTTGGCAGCCATACAGAATGAGGTGTCTCAGCTGCGGTTCATATAGACAGATCATTCTAGAGATGTACAGATGTGATGCACATTAAAAATGTAGAGTTACAAGCTTTCGTAAGGAGGTGAAGAGCAAAGCCTTGAATTTCATCTGGCATTGCACTGTTTTCACTGGGGGAAAAATAAAGTTCTTAAAGTCAGGAGCAAAACCTCAAGACCAGCCCTGTGCTAAACACTACAGCAAGGATTCCTGGGGAACCTGAGGAAGCTGCAAAATCCTGCTCAGAACTGTGATGCAGGAGAAACATGTGCTTAATGAAACTACTGAACATTGATGGCCAGGATTCATGTTTGACTCCTACTTCTTACCCCAATTCAGGATGCACAAGGAGTTCTTCACACCCCTTGGTGCCAAGACATACTGGAGGCAATGGCTGAAACCAGATCCCTCTGTGCCTCCCACATCTCCATTGAGAAGAAGTGTATGACCTCCATGAGATGGGGCCATCCATATCTACAGGGAAAGGGAATGCATTTGCCTTTGAGGATGCGTTTGCAGAAGCGGCAGAATACTGAAGCATATTTACTGTGCCAGCTGCAGGGCAAGAACCACTTCCCATTAGCTTGCTCCTGGTGTTTGGAAGGGATTGCAGAAAGTCTAGCAGTAGATCTGACCCAACTGCTTGATGTGAGGAAAATGGACTAGCACATAGAGAGTCACACGCATATCACACTTACCCACGTGAAAATGAATCTTTTGAAACAGCCCATTCTGCTATCTATATGCTGCAGAGCTGGATTTGTTGAATTCAATGTACATGAGCTGGAAAACTCACTTGCTTGTGTGCTGAAAGTCATGCATCAAGAACTTAAGCAAGCTTAACAGCGCACATGCCTTGCATTGTTCACAGCCATTTTCTCTCTAGGATTTCAGAGAAAAAATACAGGATCCCTAAGCCACTTTGCCATATAATTAGAGACACCACAGCTGTGTTCATCTAGCACTCCCTTTGAGGTTCAGGGCTCACACAGCCCTGTGTGTATTGCTATATGTTTATGATATGCTCAGCATTACCAGGACAAAAATAGAGTCCTTACTAGAGAAAATGTATAAACTCAAAGACAAAGAAAGTCATGACCTACCAGAAACCTAGAAATAATTGGTTTGTGTTCTTTAATAATTAAAAGCTTCCATCTGAGCATCCAGTCAAAGGAGGGATACTATTCAGGAGTGTCTTACACTAAAACTTAAAATACAGAAAATAAGATTTATTTTGAGGGGAAAGACTGGGAAACACAGGAAATGCTAATCACAGGAAAGTCACAGGACTGTACAAGGAGACCATCCCAGTAGGTGATTCTCTGTCTTGCATTGTCTCATGAATAGTAAAATTTAACAGACCATTTCCTTTTTTATATTATCTTTGCTTAAAAGAGACTTGAACCTTCAGATTTTCATTACATATCAGCACATAGCTGTGGATGACCTGCTGGTTTAGAGATTTTTGGTACACTGTAGTTTGAGTAGGAAGGGAAAGGTTGTATTGCAAAAATGAAGCAGCTTGTGTGTTGAAGATAGCTCGCTTCGTTTTATTACATAAAAGTGACTGGAAAGGGAATTGAGATCAGCATACACACAGCCTTGTGCATAACCCAAACACTGTCTTTAGTCAAGCTGGGAGAGTAATGGATAATGATGCCTAATGCAAAGCTTGCTACTGCAAAATGTTCTATATTTTCACTTCTCATGGGTGTACAAGCCCCAAGCTGAGATTGCTGATCATCCTTAAGAGATGCACTTGGAGCTGTGCAGCACTGACCCTGAAAACACTAATACTTCAATTTGCTCCAGGCATCACTTTATAGATATGAAAGTTATATTTTCACTTTTGTGTGTATAGAATATGCTGATATTGGAAAAATAAAACTCTTTTCCAAAATATTGCAGGTCTAGTTTCCAGTGTTAACAGAATACCAGAGATGAGTGACTTGCAGGTTTTCATTCTGAAATGACAAATGCTTTCTCAACTTGAATTAAAACATAGGTAAGTATGCAAAGGCAAGCAAACAGATCTAGATATCTTGATTTATAATGGCAGAAACACAAAACTTTACATGTTGAAGACTGGATGTATCCCAATTCAAGAAAACAGTGAATATAACATTCAAGAGGATGTTTATATGTGCAAACATATGAACAGATCTGTGATTTTAAGATGTAAATATGTGGGCATCAGTAACTTGGGCACAAGCTGCTATTTTTAATTTAAACTTACACTAAATGGGGCAAGCTCTTTTAATTTCCTAGCCTTATCTCCCAGTGCAGGCAGCTTTCACTTATGGCACGTAAATACCTTTTCTGTATTGCCTCCATAGGCAATTGGAAAGAAACCTGTATTTTAATAAAAATGAGGAAACTCATAAGGCTGATGCTTCTAGGGCTTAGCAAGCAATTATATTTACTTTATAAATACTAGCTGTTACATAGGCCTCCAGTTACGTTGACTGACCCTATCACAGCAAGAGTGCCGGGTCAGATGCAATTAGACTGGAAGTAATGTTGGAGTAAAACTCAAATCTGTAACAGAATGAGAAAGTGACAGCAAAAGCCCATTTTCTCCCTCCCCATTGAGGTCACGGATGGTACAACAGAATGCACTTACTGCATTATGTCTCTCCATCACTTTAGTAAAGAGGAAAAACAAATAAAAAATGCATTTCTTATTTAACATCCAGCAACAGCTCAGGTCTCAGCATCTAGACTCCATTCAAACACTAATGCTCACACAAAACTGTTAGTCAATTACAGGAATGTTTTTCATTTCTGTTCCCTTTTTTATCCCCAGCAACAAAATTTCTTATGACATTTTCTGGAAACTCCCCATAGATTTGTGCCACAAAACAAAGAAGAGGAAAATAAAATCCTTATTATTTGAACATCTCAGTGATGGCTGTAAGCAGTTGGTACATTTTTAGATCAGTAGTTGTACTCTTGAATCCTTGTCACTGAGAGGAGAGAACTAACAAGTACCTTGAAAAATTCTTACCGAAACATAAAACTCAGCTGTATTTACATGCATTCTCTGGAGGAAGGATTTAACAAAGCTTGAAAGGGTGGGATTTGCTTGCTAATTTTTAAGTAATGAAAAATCAAAAGATTTGAAATGGTCAACTGATATTAGCTAAAATAACCTTTGTGAAAAGATGTTTATTTAAAAAGGATGTTTAATTTAATTTTATAACTATCAAGCAGAATAACAACTCTTTCATACTGCATTTGTTCACATATTGCATGTCAGCAAAAAAACATCCCTACTGATTACTCAACCAGGATTATTTCTGACAAGAACTAATACTTGGGGTTTATTCCTAGCATTTATTTAGCTGGCATTTAGTTTACTATGTCTTTATTTTTTTTCTAAGCTGACAAGTGCTGAACACTTGCAGACAGAGCTGAAGGAACCTGCAGTCCCTTAGTGAATTTAAACAGAGCAAAAATAAGAGCTGGGGAAGATTTGACAGTGATCAACAATGGTGGTGTTGTTTTACAGGGATAATTAGAGTTGCCATTACTTTTTGCTATTAGGTTTCACACTGCAAAGTTAAAAATATATAAACATGAAATCATTGTCAACTGGCCTTTATACTAACTGTAAAGGTCTGTGCATTCATACTTCTGCAGCTTCCACGGTCAGGTTTGTGATCCTGGTGGTGCTTACCGGCATTTCTCATCAGGACTGTGAGGGCTGTAGCCTGCAGCAGAAAGCTAGAAGCTTTCTGCTTCTAGCAGAAAATTGGGTCTTACTCAGAAGTGGGATAGACATTTGGGTCCAGAATTCATGCTCTAATCTCTCTAGTGTATTAAGAATGTATTGAATAGACCAGAGTGTTCTTGTGGATAAGGGAAAAGCAGACAGCTCAGCCAGAAAACACTTCTTAGACCACAGCAGCAAAATGGACAGATAAATGTCTTCGCAGACCCTGGGAAGAAGGGAAAAACAGAAGCAAGACTGTTGACATGTTGCTTCCTTCAAGGAAATTGCAAAGCAAAAGTCAAGAGCCACTGTCCCCAGCAAACCAAATGCTGGGTCAGTTGCCTGGTGGCCACTGCAATGCAGGAGCAATTCCTATATCTTCCTTCCTGAGAAGGTCACCAAGCTTCCTCCCAGACATTCCCCATCTCAGAGCCAAAGAAGACAAAACAATCCTGATTTGTAACAGTGCATAGAAATATTCAAACAGATTGGAAGCTGAACTTACTTATTATTTCCCATAGAGCAATTCCACATCGTAGATCCCACAGTAGCACCACCAATAAATGGTGATCCAGAAACTTTGGTTTCATGTGGATTTGGCCACTACCATGGATCGTGTGAGCTCTAGATGAGGCTCCATTCACTACAGAAGGTATGAGAAAATGTTTATTTCCTATGGGACTTTTATGGTGCCTAACAATGCACAAATTGATGCTACCGCTTTTACTTCAGCTGGGATATTTCCAGGCTTTTACGAGCTTTCCCATCTCTGTTTCTAGTTCCTGTTTCTATAAAAATTGTGGGAACTCAGATTGCTCAGCCCTCGGTTAACTTGGCTTAAAACTAGCCAATGGACTGAAAAGTAAATGGAAAGACAAACTTAGTAGCACGTAAGAACAGTATGATCATATAAACCTTGTTTGTAAAGGGAGCTGGGCTAAAAACATATATTATTCTAGTTCAGGTGGTGGAAGCTATTAGGAATTGGTCATTAAATGGCTGCTTACTTGTGGTTTGACTTGAGGGTACAGCTTAGGGGGGTGTTAATTGGTTGATTCAAACTTGAATTTCCACACTGTAGACTTTTTAAATTGCTTTAAAGTTTAATCCTAACTCTAAACTTTTGGAGTTTCTGGGGGGAGATACCTACAAAAAAATGGAGACCATTCTTTCCTTTTGACTATTAATATGCTTGTAAGTTGTACTAATATGGTGCTTAAGCTACCTAAATATAAAACCAACTATTTCACTATTTTTTGGTACAAAAAATATTTTTATTATTTATGAAAAGCATATTATTCCAGATAAAGTGTTGTTAAATCAATGATTCTCTATAAAAATCAAAAACCCAAAGAGCTTTTGTATTGGCCTTTTATGAAGAAATTCTAAAATTTATTCAATCTTTGTGGGTGCATGTTTTAAGGAAATAGATTATTTGAATATTACTTCCAAGCTTCAGGAAAATAGTTTCAGCTAGACACTCTTGTAAAGACTAAGGTGCACCATTAAATTGCAATGAAACTGCTGGCTTGGGATACCAGCTACACTAACATCAACAGGGCGCTTGTACTATGCTCATATAAAACTGGTTCAACAACTAGATGAAACACTCTCAGCTCTTTTATCTCTATCATGCTTTACTAAATGGTTCCTTTCTTGAACATTCAGAGGTATTTACATTTTGCTGTACTTCTTTTTCTGCCTTACACCATTTTCTGTTAACCACCTGTAAGTGATTTGCTGCTGGATGACCCAAGGTTTTGTTCAAATTGAACTATTTCTTTGTTTGCTGCAGAGTATATTAAATGAAATTGACCTCTAAGACAAAATGAAGGCTTGGTGTAAAACTTGCTCTGAAAGGTTAATGAATCTCAGAAATCCTCCCAAGTGAAGGAAAGAGGCTATACTTTACCAATGTAAAAGTCATGCAGCAAAAACAGCACTGCTGACATAATTCCTTTGATTTTAGTGAGCTTACAAAGGAAATAAATTTGACCCGCATGAGTCAAACCCATCCTTCTTTTCAGGAGAGGTACAATGACCAGCAAGTAAAGAATCTCCTCTCACCTGCCAGTAGCTTTAGCTTAATGGGAAACTCTAGGTCAATATATGAGTATAAAAACCACATGGTTTACTTCTGTTACAATAACTCTTTTACTAACTCCAACAGTTTTTCCAGGCATTCTAAGAAGCTAAAATATATGCAAATAAAACTAAAAATTACTTCAAGGAAAGTTCTTGGTGAGCTAAAGTAATTGAGTATTAAAAAAAAGTAAAAGTGAATGTATTATATTTTTTGCTATCTTGCAAATCTTTGTTAGAGTAGTTATCAGTAAGTCACTAACCAGAGAATGAGACCAGTTATTAGAAGAGAGAGTAGTCTGAGGAAAATAATGGCATAGGACACAAATATGACTTTACCATTCAATCCTTTAGAAAGGAAAGGAAAATAACTTTTGGGTTCCATCTTATTTCATATTTTAAAGATTCAACAGTTGAGTTTCAGAAGCAATAAGACTTTGAGTCAATCTGTTGGAAACCTGATGGTTTTGATGTCACTGTAGTGAACCTGCACTTTCATTGTTAAAAAACATAAGTGGGGTAACTGCAATTATATTTTCCATAACAAGCTGATCCTCAAATTTGGAAAAGCCAATGTCACCTTCAGAAAAAGCACCTGAAAGGATTAAACTCCTATTTTAGATAGCTCATCTGAAAGTCTAAAAATAGGGTGCATCCTGGCCAGTGCATCCTCAACACCGCTGACTATGCAAACTAATGTCTCATATTTTCACAAAGTTACATTAGATTTATACCTGAATAAATATTTCAAAACAAGTGTAAAATAACAGGCAGCTCAATCACTTACTAATCTTTGTCCTGCCTGTTGTTCCAGCTAAGGGCCCACTCTACATCTGAGCACTGCACTGCAGTATGGGTTGTTCATTACCCAAAACCTTCAAGAGCATGAAATACTTTCTATGCACAAGCCCAAGCAGAGAAAAAAACAGCACCCTCTGGATAGTCATATGCCAGGACAGGAGTTTTTACAGGAGAATACCACTGTACCATTGCCTCACATGTGTACTCCTCTCTAGGCATCTCCCATGAAGGATCCCGCATTGACTGTTATGCTCTCTCTGTTCAATCCATTGTTTTTGCATTTTATTGGAAGAAAAGCACTGACATCTTCTCAGCTCATTTGAAAAAGTGGTTAATAACAATGGTGATACGAACCTGGGCATACCCACAGCTGGGTCGCTGTAAAGGTGTCAGGGAAGAAAGGCTAGAAACAATGCTAGATCCAAGACTGCTATTTAAAATACACTGATTTAGACATCTGTCATTAAGCCTGTATCTTAGGTCAAGTCCTACATCCCTATGCACGGGATATTTATATGGACATGTTTACATGGCATTCTTCAAAGTTTCTTCTTTAATTCTTTTGGTCAGTGCAGTTTTAAGGGATGCAGTGTGAAGGGGATTTCTTCAGCTGTCTGGTGGAGCCTGACAGAGCCCAGCAAACACTCCCACGTTGCAGTAAGATATCACTTTGCATGCTTTTTATGCCTCTCAGAGTCAGGTGGTTGTATGGCGAGGAGGAATCAGCAGCCAGTGGAAGTCAGCTGCTTGTGGAGAGGTTATGAATATTATTTGGATCCTAAAAGGTAAAGCAGAGAAGCACTTTCTGAATATTGAATAGCAAAAGAATCCATGTGGGAGCAGGATCAGTAATACAGAGCTGAGCGAAAGAATAAAAAATTAGGTTAGTGTGGAGTTAGCCTATTATGCTGTAATTTAAACTACCTAAATGGACAGGTCCCCACCCCCCTTCTCTTCACGATCTCTTATTATCAGCTCAGAAATAAGATACATGAGTTGATAACTTCTGTTTTACTATAATGAATAAGAAGGGAAAAAAATGAAGTAAAATTATGAGTAAATGTTTATCCCTTTATTTGTATTCTGCTTTTTGCAGAGCATGTTATAGTGGAAGAGGGGATATTATGCCATCAGAGGCAGGAATTCATTGCATGTTCACTGCACACTGCAGAGACTGAAAACAAAAAAACAAAACAAAATCAATAAACTTATTTTGTTCATATAATATTGCTGTAACAGCAATGACTGATGGGAAATTTTCCCACTAACCCTTTATATGTATATACATATAAACATTTTGAAAGCTTTCTGAAAATTACTATTAACTTGCAGGACATATTTTTGCAAGATTTTTGCACTTGAATGACTCAAATGCGTCTTCTTTAACACATTTCTAGCAGCAAGTTTCATTATCAGTGAGGAATATACATCTTATACAGACACTACAACAAAAAAAAGAATTGGAAACACCAGCTCCCATTCACAAATCACATCATAACCTGAAGGAAAATAGCACTGCTTCCTCCTCACCACAACTCAGTTATATAATACATGTACATGAATGAAGTAAAATAACAGCATTATTTCATACAGTTTTGAATGCTATAGACATGAACAAGCTGATTCCAGATGAATGAGAAACTGTATTCCTACATTTCTGCATTTGCTCAGGTTGCCTGGGCAGTGCCAGTATTACTATTGCAAGGTGGGTTTTTTCTTCTCAATTGTAGTAAAAGCACAAGTTTATTTTCCCAGATTGGCACTCCTTCTGATATTTTTATTTAAAGAGAAAAAAAACAAAAAAAAGCCACAAAAATAAACAAAAACCACCCAAACAGAACCAAAACAAAACAGCCTGAAGAAATCGCTAGTTACATTACAGTATTTATTTGTTTTATCTCATTAAAACTATCCTACTTATAGTTACAGCAGGAGTGGAGATAAAAGCGTATTTAAAACCAGGTGGAAACTAGAAGGAGCAAAGGGAGACAAGATCTGTTCTATAGCTTACAACACTGGCCTTTGCTGGGAGTTCTGCAGGTCTCATCACTTTAGGGAATTCCCTGGTAGCATACCCATCCCATGTAAACTATTTTGCTGCTACTTTCACCTCATGAGAAAGGTCACCAGAGAAATCTTGTGGTTTCCCATTAGGATCAATCCTTCTTTTGTCTTACTGACCTCAGGTTTGCTGGATGGTGTTAGCAGTTACATTTCCTACTGTCCAGGCCTCTTTCCCATCTTTGCAGCCACATAGAATGCACAACAAACACAGGACACAAGCGGCATTGGGTGAACAGATCTTACTTAGATACTGAAGCTAAACACACAGAAATTAATTTGGCCCTTCTCTTTTACCTTTTTATATTTTAAGTTCCTTTTTTAATTTCGGTTTATTGAGTTACATGAGTTTTGCTATTAATTGGAGCTTTTATTGGAGCCTGGATCTGTGCTTAGTAACTACATGCTAATTCCTTTCCTGCAGGAGAAAAGAGCTGGTACAAAGACTGCAAGAAGAATGGTGAAATTTTCACTGTGACATTTTTAAAATTTCTTATGTCTTTGAAACAGCTGTCTAAGGCTGGTAATTGAAAAGCTGCTCTTACTAATCAATGCAAAGAGCAGATTCTGGTCATTCATTGTGCCACTATTTAAAAAGAGGGAAAAGATGCAGTACTGACATCTTCATAACAAGTTACAACAAGCTAGAAATTGGAGGAAAATTATTCAGGCTGTAAACAGGTTCCCCCAAACACCCGATTAGTTAAAACAAGTATCTCAAATCTAAAAATTATTTGTCAAAGATAAAAGAGAAAGCCTATTCATGCTTTTCAGTGGGGACCAGAATATTAAAACACATCCAGATGTGCAGGTTAACCAAGATAAGTAACTTCCCGCCCTTTCTTTTACTCTTCTCCCGCCACCAGCCACCAGAGAGAGTAAAGGAGAAATTAGTTAGTTCAACTCATAAAATCCTGG